GTACTACTGGTTAGGAGGATCTGAATCTAAATTTGAGATTCAGTGCTCATCTATAAAGTAGGAATGATAACCATAATACTTCTGAGAACTGTTTGAAGATTAAGTGATACAATCAACATATAACTCATAGAGGATGAAAAGTTTATTTTGGTTGGTTTCAGAGGCTTTAGGTCATGATCAACCAACTCAGTTGCTCTGGGTGTGAGGTGAGGCAGAACACCATGGTAGGAGGGCGTGGCAGAGAAGAACTACTCAGTACTCCATAGAAGAAAGCAGAGCTGGTGGGTGGGAAGGGACCGCAGAGAAGATAAACTCTTGCAGGGAACACTCCTGTGTCCTACCTCCTCCATTCACACCCCACCTGCCTATAGGTACCACCCAGTGAGTCCTTTGAAATTATTAATCTACCAAATGGATTAATCGATTGATAGGTTGTCGCTTTCATGATCTAATTATTTTACCCCTGAATCTTTCTGCATCAACACAGGAGCTTTTGGAGGATCCATCACATGCAAGCCACACCAGGAGCATACATTGAACAATTCCTATATTATATCATCAGTGCTCTTTCATATGATAGCATTTTCTGTAGTCTAATGAAAATATCCATTGTCCTAATTGACCAATGAGGATAATGGGACAAACAAGGAAACTGCGGTATTCATTTCATAGACACTTTTTCTTTTTTTGCAAATGAAAGATGTCTCATCAGGGCAGTTAAATAATCTGAGTTTTACTTTTACAAAAGCACAACTTTTTATGTTATAAAAAATAGATAAAGAAGAGAAGCTAGCAAGAAAAGTTAAGAGGACTGGTTCTGGTGAAAGGTAATGAAGACTTACAATGAGGAAATTTGATTGACATTTCAGAGGTGAGATGAACTGAATCCTATTGCATGTGAGTCAGAGTTAGGACGGTGAAATAGAAGCAATGTAAAGCGAATTTCAAGGGATAGGTAGTCTCTAGCAATATTTGTTATTCCAGGGACATGAAATATGTAAAGCATGAGCTGTGCAAATAGGTCATCAGGCTAAGTAGTAGACCCTTTTTAACCTAAGTGAAAGCATTTTTTTTTTAATATGGTGGGTGAAGACACCAAAATGTATTGTATTGAGGTGGGAATGCAGCTGAGATCAGAGACTGTGAAGTTGATTACTTGAAGAAATTGACTAATTCAGTCATTCTTTTTGGCAGAAATTTCACTAAGAGATGGAACTAAATTTGAAGGATACCCCAGAGCTAAATGTGAAATGAGGAACATTTAGAGATAACAATTTCAGGACCAAAAATACAGTTGACCCTAAAATATTTTCTCTCATAGCCACTACCACATGTAATTCCTACTGTTAGGGTCGGGCAAGCGTCGGAGGAAGAGACCACCAAGAGACTTGTCTCATTCAAAAGCAAAGGGTTTATTGGGGGGGGGGGGGACCAGCATGCTGGGGCCCAGAGTTCTCCTGAGAGAACCTGGAGCCTTGAGTACAGCTTAAACAGAGTTTTTATACAGTGTTTAAACAGGAAAGTTCATATGGCAGTTAGGGTGAGTGGGGTTGTTACAAATAACCATTACAGAATAATCATGCATTCTGTCAGGGGGTGTTGGGCCAGGGTACATTTTGACATAAGTAACTGTTTTTAACATAAGTTTCGGGTTCCAGGAAAACAGAACTTAAACTTACAGAAAAGCAAAACTTAAACTTAACAGGAGAGAAAAACTTAAATTTAACCTTTACATTACTATGTGGTAAGCACTCACCCAATTCAGTGAAATGTGTAAATTCCTTCAGCTTTTACTTGTTCAGTTTCGCCCTGTATAATTTGACTCTTGTTCAGGTCTTTTATACCTTGGCTTTTGTTTTTTTTCTTTTTAAGAGTAAAACTCCATTCAGCAATTTTGCAGTTACACAAGCAGTTATTTCAAGTCTGTGCTCACAAAGCACTTCACACAGGCTGTATTTCCCTGTTTGCAAACTTTGCACCTTGCCATTGCTTGAGAAAGCATTTTATGCAGTTTTAAATGTAATTAAAAATGATAGGACATTTCACTTAAGTTATGTTTCTTTTTCTTTATAAACTTTGGCTCTGCATTTCACAAGAATGCACAGGAGGGACTTGGGAGATTGGTTTACGTAATGCAGTGTGCCTTTGCCCTTCCCTGACCTTTCTGAGGAACTGCACAGATGCTTCCTTGCTTTTCCATGTTGTATTACCCAGGTGTGATAAATATCATGTCCCTAAATTTTACAGTTTTGTTTTACCTTTCTCTTAAAAAAGATGCATTAGTTTTGTTTTTTAAATATTTAATTTTAAATTTTATTTTAAATAAAAATATTTATTTTATATCTTTGTTTTATTTATTTATTTTTATGTGGTGCTGAGGATCAAACCTAGGGCCAAGCATGCGCTAGGCGAGCACTCTGCTGCTGAGCTACAACCTCAGCCCCTGAAAAGATACATTCGTTTTAAAGTATCTTATTATCTTCAGCTTTCTCAACATGACTCTCTATCCTGTTTTTAATTGTCTGTTGAAGAAAGCAGATCATGTAACATTTTCTCACAATCTGAATGTTCTTGACTCCCATGGGATATGGTTCAATATGTTCTTTTATTCTCTATATTTCCTGTAAACTGGGAGTTGGACGTGGGGACTTCCTCTGTGTCAGGATTCCCCTTCCCTCTTCTGGACAGATGACTTGCCCAGCTGGTGGGGTATCATTCTGTTTTTGAGATGACAGTACAGTTAATACAAAATGCTGAGATCCACGATTCCCTTGGTATTGAGCACCACTGGGTTATATTTATATGTTTTGTTTATTTATTTATTGGGTGGAATTCTTCTCCTTGACTGTTTGGTCAGCTAGTGGTAGAGCTGGTGTCAAGGTATGTGCTTAATATTTTTCCTTTATCTTAACCACTATTCAGAATGAAAGTTGGTACTGTAATGTCCTCTGTAAATGGTAGTGTGTGTGTGTGTGTGTGTGTGTGTGTGTGTGTGTGTGTGTGTGTAAGAGAGAGACAGAAAAATAGATAAGGAGTGGCTCCTGCCACCCTGACTCTACTGGACCCCCTTCTGAGATCTGGGAGCCTGACTGGTTAATAAAGCTTATCCTTGCTGTCTTGGTCAGAGGTCCTGAAATTTCAGCTGCAGACTCCAGGATGAACAGGATTGGTCCCCACTATCCCATCCTCATTGCTGAAACATTGGGGAAGAAAAGCTTCTCCTCTTCCCCTTTAGATTCCACTAATTAAATTGATGAAAGATTATCAAAGAAAAAAAAAGATTTAATTATGTATGTATAGTAGTTCACAGAAACAGTGTGACTCAAAGGGGCAATTAGGAGGCTGGAGATGTGGCTTAGTGGTAGAGCATCTGCCTGGCACGCACAAAGTCCTGGGCTCTATCCCCAGCATGGCAAAAGTAAAGAAAGAAAGCAAGAAAGAAAAGAAAGAAAGAGAGTTAGAATTAAGGCTTATTTTGCTTTTAATTTTTTAAAATTTAACTGATACATAATAATTGCACGTATTTTAAGGTACAATATAATATTTAGATATAAGATATAATGGTAAATGATCACATCTGGATAATTTGCACATCATTTATCATTTCTTTATGTTGGGAGCATTCAACATCTTCTCTACTAGCTATTGTGAAATATGCAATTGATTGTTGTCAACCTTAGTTATCCTACTATTATGAAGAACATTCTAAGTTATTTCTTCTGTCCAGTTGTACCCCTGTACCTGTTAACCATCCTCTCTCCACCTGCCTCTCCACCACCCTTCTCATCCTCTGATAATCATTATTCTATTCCCTGTTTTTATGAAATCAGCTTTCTTAGCTTACATGTATAATTGGGATCACAGGATAAGTAAGTTTCTGTGCCTGATGCTTCACTAAACAATGTCTTCCAGTCTCATCCATACACCATCTTGACAAAGAAAGGAGAAGGGCGAAGGGCTACTTATGGACAAAACAAACAAACAACAAAAACAAACAAACAAACAAACCAGATTTCTTCTTGGAAAGATAAGCCAGCCCATAGGAGAAAAGATAGCAGACATGATGTTTTTATGGCAGTGTCCATTCAGATGTGGAATGGAGACTTCTCTAGTGATGAGAATTATCTTCCTTGTTTGCTTCTGGGGAGGAGATTTATGACAAGTGAGTTCTTCTGAGTGCTTTTTTGGAGGCTCTGTGTTTAGTCAGATAAAAGATTTCAGAAACTCAATGCCTGCTGCTCAAAATAATTTTTATACTTTATTAGCATATCCTGGACTCCTTTCATATATGTAGGTGTGTACATATGTGTATATACAAAATAATTTTTATACTTATTGGCATATCCTAAACTCCTTTCCTATATGTAGGTGTGTACATATGTGTATATACAGATGTTATGACTGTTATCAATTCATAACATCTTATGAATTGATACTGATGTTTGGAATTCAGTTAAAATTTAGAACTGTAGGATGCCTATGTAAATTCTCTTTTTTTTTTTTGATTTACAGGTTCTTAAGAACACCAGGAATGACAGAATATAGCATCTCAGTCCAATCCACACTACACACAAAGTTCCAACACTATGTTTATTGCAAAGATTTGAAATAGGCCCTCTAGTCTCAACCCACTAGTGTGGGTTGGTGTTTACAGTTATACTGTTCCCACACTTTCAGAGCATATGGAGTATATTTTTTAGTACTCTCTTCCCTATATCCTATTTAGCTATCATGATTTCAAGAGATAAATATCACAGACTTATGCTTTTGTGATTCTGTTAATGTTGTATCAAAACTTTTCTTCAGCTGTGCCTGTGAAGGAGAATAAGAAAAGTAACCAGATCTATGTTGACAGAGGAATAATTCTTCAAATAAATGGATGGAATGTTGAGAAACTGTTCATATAGCACCATTGAAAATTTAGAAAAGGTTTTATATTGGATTTCCCTGCAAATGTAACTTTTAAAACTTTTTTTTTTTTTGTCTTTTATGACTTACAGACAAGTCCAGTATGCTAGTAGAAAAAAATATCACATTAGAAAAGCCTTCTAATATGGAACTCACATGCCAGTTCACAACATCTGGAGATTTGAATTCAATAAACATTACTTGGAGAAAAGGTGATGAGCTACTTGAGAATAATAATTATCTCATTAATGCATCAGGAAACACCCTGTATACCCAATACACGTGAGTATACAAGATTTTCAACCTACGTTGATAGCCAGAATTGGTTTTATCCTAAATATTTTTACTGACAAAAAAAATTCCTTTGCAGTTAATGAATGTTAAGCTAATATTCTAATTTACATGTTTACAGAATTATTTGTTTATAAGTTTTGATTAATTGTTAAGTCTTCATTTTCATTAAGAAGTATTTGAAGAACTAAGCCTGGATTAATAATTTCAATTACCTTTAGGTTCACCATCATTAATAGCAAACAAATGGGAAGTTATTCTTGTTTCTTTGAAGAGGAAAAGGAACAAAAGGGAACATTTAATATCAAAGGTCAGTATTAATAACTTGAGAAATAATAACTTCAGCATTATGTTCTTAAATTTTTAAGTCCCTGATTTTAATTATTATTGTAATAATACACACAGTGAAGTTGGGAAAAAAAATTACATGCTTTCCATTGACTCAAAGGTGACCTTGAAAATGGTCTTGCATTCCCTAATCCACTCCCCTCTCTGCTTCCATCTCTTAGTTTAAATACAGGTTTTACTTCCAAAGGCCAGCCTGCCAGGTTTTCATAAATCATATTAGTCTCTTAATTTATTTATTAATTCAGCCCTCTAAATTTAGAGCTTTTATAATAGTCCTCCAGATTTCTGAGTTACTGTGCTCTCCCAGATTAGGAGAAGATGGTTTGGTGTACTACATCACTGACTCCAGGCCTTGTTATTTTAGAGTTCTATAAAATTTAAAAATAGTATGGAGATGCACAAAGGGTTGAGTACATTTTATATCATCACGTATGGCCGTTTAAAAATACAACCATGCATCCCTTAACAGCAGGATACAGTCTGAGAAACGTGTCATCAGGTGCTTTCCTGTGGGAAACATACAGAGCACTTACAGAAACCTTGATTGTTGGCCTGGGACACACCTGTGCTCTGTAGTGGAGCTTGTGGCTCTTAGGTTAGGACTCTGGAGAGTGTGTTACTGCATTGAACACTGTTTGCCATTGTAACCAGTGGTAAGAATTTGTGTATCTAAACATGTAACAGGTACAGTAGATACAGTATGAAAGATACAAAGTGGTATGCCTTTGTGGGGTGCTCCGGTGAATGGGACCTGAAGGATTGGGAGTGGCCCTGGGTGAGTCAGTGAGTGGGTGGTGAGTATGGGTCAAGGCCTGGGACTTAATTGTCTACCACTGTAGACTTTGGAAACCCTGCACACTTAGGCTACACTAAATTTATAAATGAAAATTTCTTTAATAATAAGTCATCTTTAGCTTACTGTAACTTTTTACTTTATAAATTTTAAACTTTTTAAAAACTTTTTTGACTTTTCTAATAGGCTAAAACACAAACATTATATAGCTATGCAAAATTATTTTCTCCATGTCCTTATTCTGCAAACCTTTGTTTTTATTAAAGAGTCTTTTTATTTTTTTTAACTTTGTAAATGTTTTTGTTTAAAGCGAAGACACAAACACACATGTGAGTCTAGACCTGCGCAGAGTCAGACTCATGTCCCTGTCCTCACCGCCACCTCTTGTCCCATGGACAGTCTTTAGGGGCAGCAACACACAAGGAGCTGTCATCTCTCTGATAACAAGTTCTCTTTCTGGAACATTCTTGAAGGACCTGCATGAGGCTCTCTTCAGAAGACCTATTCAGAAATCTGTTCAGAGTGGTTTGCTTGATTTGTTTCATCGGATTTGTCATAGATTTGCTTTTAAGCAGATGATGCACCATGAATCTTCCTCCCTTAATGAAAACCTTGCTGTGTCCGGGTCCATGCTTGTAAATTTTTTAAGGAGCTTTAGTATTCCACTTCTGCTGAACACTTCACTTTGACTTTTCATGGGAATTTTCCCTTCTCTCCTGCAGTTTCCTTTTCTCTTGCCTCTTCCTCAGTTACTCACTCACTAGGTAATAGGAATTTTTCAGCTCCCTTATAATCTTCTGGGACCACCACTGTATATGGATTTATTGTTGACTGAAATGTCATTATGTGCCACAGGACTATTCAAACCCCACAATATAATCTACAGTTCTTCCTCACAGAAATAAACAAATTGGTATATTTATATTACTATCATTAAACCAAAACTTTACAAAGTCACAATCTCTATTATCCAACTCAGATAGTCCCATAAGAAAGACAAATTGTTTGAGGTGGGTAATTATCTTTATGAACATTACAATGTTTTGTGGTAGATTAAGGAAGTATAGTGTTCATGCCGGTATTTGAGAAATGTAGCCTGTGGAAAACTGTGTAGGGTTCTGCTACACATTAATCTTCCAGAGAACTGGAAAACTCTTCTCCTTTTTCCAAAAACTTTATTCTAACAGAATACTGATCCTACCCTGAAGGCCCTGTCAGTAGCAGAATAACCTGCTTCTTTGTTTCCACGATTGAAGGTGGTTCATTCCCACGTCCCTCCCTGTGCCCTCTCTGCACTGGGACTCACCCCCTTTGCATGTTTTGTAAATGTTCCAATTTAGTAAAGATAACAAGTCCTTGGTCTTTCTAAAGGCAGAAATTGGCTTTTTCCTTTGATTATTTTGATCATGTATATTCTTTCTTAATCTTCTTTCTTCTGTTGACTAATTTAACTTAGTGGAGGAGTGGATGGACCATATGCATTTCCTTACTGTGTCCTTTTCCTCTCTTTTTTTCCCTGTCTTGTCCTCCCTTTCATTCTCCTCTTTGCTCCTTTTCTCCTTTTCTTTTCTATTACCTTTTCCTTTCTTTCTTTCCTTTTTCTCCCCCCCTTCACTATTCCTAATAAGTGAAAAAGTATTAAACACACACATGCATATATACACACAAAATGCCAATGATCACATTTTATTGAGCGTCCTTTAAATATGTAAAGAAGGCCTGTAGGTCTTTGCTCACCAAATCTCATGACTTAAGTGCTCCCAGGAAATTCAACTTTAAATGCTGTGTGTGTGTGTGTGTGTGTGTGTGTGTGTGTGTGTGTTTAATACTTTTTCACTTATTAGTGAAAATTAGTATGTGGTGTGTCTCCTCTCTGTCCTCTATATTGCATTGTTTTCTGGAAATACAGACTTATCATGCCTGATCAAAGTTTAAGTATTGACTGTACAACATTTTTAGCCCTCATCATAAATCAATCAATTTACTATATATGACCATTCTTGGCTCTAATGTGAATATTACTGGAAGCATTTTACTTTTCAAAAATATCAATTTCATGCCAAGTATTCTTAGGGAAGGCCTCTGGATTCCTCAGCTCTTTTGACATTATTAAGCTGACGTTGACCAATACAGGGATGAGCTTTTAAATCAAGTCTTCCAGGCATGCAAAGAAACCACTGAATATTTGCATTTTCCTCTTGTTTTTTAATTTGTGTGAAGCAATTTAGTTCAAATTCTTCTTTATTTTTGTGATATTGGGGATTGAGCCCAGGGTCTCATGCCTGCCTAGGCAAGCACTCTACCACTGAGCAGCATCACCAGCCTATTTATATCAAGACAGTATTTTGCTAAGTTTCTCAGGCTGGCTCAAACTTGCAATCCTCCTGCCTCAGCTTCCTGAGTAGATGAAATTACAGACAGGCACCCCTGTGTCCAGATAACTTGTTTGGTTTTAATTGCTGCTTCGCAGTAATATAACATTTAAGTACGTACTATATCCTGAAGGTTTTTATGAAATTAATAAGTTGAGTCCTTCCAGATCTTCCTTGGTAAAAATAATAATTCATTTAGGTTGAATATGGTTTGGAGAAATGATTTCATTTATGTAGAATTTAAAGATATCAACACAATAATTAATGTTATAGTTATTCTTTTATTAGGTCTGTAAAGCTTGTGGAGTGTTGTATATTATATTTTTATTATTGTCTGTTACGGTTTGGAAGTGAGGTGGCCCCCCAAAAGCTCACGTGTGAGACACCATAAGAAGGTTCTGAGGAGAAATGATTGGGTTGTAAGAGTCTTAACCCAATCAGTGAATTAATCCCCTGATAGGGATTAACTGAGTGTTAACTAAAGTGGTAGGGTGTCACTGGAGGAGGTGGGGATTGAGGCATGGCTTGAAGTATATATTTGTATCTGGAGAGTGGAGTCTCTTTCTCTGCCTCCTGATCACTGTGATGTGAACTGCTTCCCTCTGCCACCCTCTCCTGCCATGATGTTCAGCCTCACCTCGAGCCTTAAGGAATGGGGCCAGCCTTCTAAGGACTAAAACCTCTGAAACTGTGAGCCCTCAAAGGAACTTGTTGTCCTCTATAGCTGTTCTGGTCAGATCATTTAGTCACAGCAGGGAAAAGCTGACTAAAACACTGTCCTATTATATTTTCTCTACATGGTTTGCTTATGGTTTTACCTAAGAAGAATTTTCTTTTCTTAGCAGCACTAGAGTTGAATGTGCACGAAAAGCCTGTTTTATCCACTATTTTAAAATTAGCCAAAATAATTTTTTTTTGGGGGGGGGTCATAGACTACATGAGTCAACTATAGCTCGAGCCTGAACCCTTAGAAAAAATCATCTTCAAAGTCCCTGCTTCTGTCTTTACAGGAGCCAGTTGATTTATTACTACAAGGGTATAACAGGGCTTCAACATTACTGATTAGTACAAGGCAAAAACCCCCGCTGACTTTGTGTGTTTGGCTGTGGATGCCAGAACCTGCAAGACGGCAAAAGTGCACGTCGGGAGCTTCTAGCTGCTGATGATTATTTTTCATCCAAGAAAGATGAGAGATGAGAGTTCTTCAGTAGTGGGTCAAATATCCTTAGTTGCTGAAAATTTCCATAATATGAATCAATATTAAAAATCTCTGTAGAAAGTATGCAAAAATTAAATTGGTTACAAACGGGAACTTTTTGGAACTCATGGGGAGATTTTGATAGGACCAAATGCTATGAGACTTGTCATGACTCAGCCATCTGTCCTCTCTGGGAAGTATCCAAGAAGTAAGTGTGGAAAAGTAGCATCATAGAAGCAGCTAGGACTTTAGTCCTCAGTCTTCATGCTGAAGTCCACTTAGCTCTCCTTGACCATATGGAAGAATCTTTGTCCTAATATGATAGCATCTAAATGTCCTTAAACCAACTGTGACATTTAAGCTAATGTATTCTAGTCCATTAATATGCAAATGCAGATCTCCAACCTTCTAGCTCCAGAGAGCTACTTTTCCAGTGGCTAGATTCGAACCCATCTTCCTAGACAGTATCCTAAATCAGCCATTTCACTACCTTCAAACCTGATTATTCCAACCCCAAGGCTCTCATGTGTCCTACTTTACCCAGAGTTTAAAAAATCAGCAAGGCACATCAGAATACTGTCACACTGTCCTTATATTAA